GTATGTTGGCAGATCTTTCCTCTGAGACACTTGAACCTCCAATGATTCAGCTAGTAGTTGAGCTGGTTAACTATTTGCACCTCCCAGGAATAATGTCATACAAGTATAAAAGTATATAAGTACTGTCAGAGTGGTGGCTCCAACTGGCATACTTGTTAGCACTTGGTACTATTGTCTGCTTTCAGATAGTTTCCAACTTCACAAGCATAAAGTGATGTTCTATTCTTGTTCTGATTTCTACATTTTGAGCACAAGTGAAGCCAAGCAATTTCCTGAAGTTATCTATTTGTTCTGCTTCTGTGAATTACCTATTCATATTCTATCATTCTTTTAAAAAATTAATCATTCTGTGTTTAGACAGATAAAGTATAAGAACTAGTGTCACCTTTTGACAATTTACAAGTAAGCAGAAGTCAGAGAACAGAGGAGCAATGTTCCTATAAAAATAAACTCCAGAGAGTAAAACTGTCATGAGTTGATGTTTTTAGAGACAATTGGGAAAGGTAGACTGCTACCAAATTCTGAAGTATATAAAAGAAATGATGGAAGAGAGGGAAATTTCCGAACTATGATAATCATCCTGTCCTGGTTAAAAGTCAGAGGAGGAAAGGCAGGTGAGGGTTAAAAAAGAGCAAGGAGGCCTTGTGGAGTGGGGAATATGTTTTGGGGAAGTTGTAATTAAGTGAATGGGTGAATAGGCTGAAAATCGGTTGAAGGGTACCTGAGTAGAAAAGTGATATGGCCCAAGTAGTATTTTAGAAACATCTGATTGTGACAAAAAGTGGGGAAGGCAGGTCAATGATTGATTAGATTAGACCTTAGTTGTAAAGAATTATTTGAACAGAACAGAAAATAGGCAATCCGATGGTGGCATTGGGTTTGGAAACAGAAGAATAATTAGGATGATTTTAAAAAGAAAAGATTAAAAAAAAATTCAATCAATATATAGGCAATGAAAGTGTTATGGATTATATTTAGATTTGAAGACTGAGGAGTTGGAGCGGGATTGTTAGGTGCCGTTGCGTTGTGCATATGACTCATAGAGACCCGATCTATGTTGTTGTTATTGTGTTCTGTTGAGTCAGAACCAACCCATAGCTGACCCATCCAGCAGGTTTTCAGATGCAGTAAATCACATGGGAGGAGAGTGCCCATATATCTGCCTTGGAGCAGCTGGTGAATTTAAACCATTGGTTGCATCATGATAGATGGTGAAGAGATTAAAATTGTTAACAGCTTTGGTTTGCTTGGCTTCACAATCAACAGTCTTGGTACCAGCAGCTAGGAAATCAAAAGACAAAATTGCATTGGGAAAGTTAGCTGTCAGAGACCTCTCCAAAGTACTGACAAGTAAATAATGTCAGTCTGGAGACGAAGGTGTGCCTCATTAAGGCCAAAGTCTTTGCAATTACTTGCCGTGCATCAGAAAGCTGGACTATGATAGAAGGAAAATGGATGCCTTTGAGCTGTGGTGCTGGAGAAGAGTATTGAATATACCACGGATTGCTAAGAGAACAGGTTCATCCTAGAGAGGGTGAAACCAGGCTGCTTCTTGGAGACAAAGATTCTGAAGCTTCATCTTACATACATTGGGCATGTTGCAAGGAAGGATCAGCTCTTAAAGAGAGATGTCATGCTCGGAAGGGTGGAGGGACAGCACAAGAGAGGAAGACCCTCCATGAGATGGATTGACTCAGTGACTGGGGTAATGGGGTAGGTGTGTCAGAGACAATAAGATTGGCACAAGATAGAGCAGGGTTTAGGGTGTTGTACATAGAGTATCTATGAGTTGCAGGCGACTCAATGACACATAACAATGACAACAACAACACCACCACCTTTGTGCATGTGCAATTCCTTAACATTAAACCAAAAGACAGTGTCTCAGGTACCAGAAGATTCACTTGTGGCAGAGACGTGACAATAGAGCTCCTAGATTAAGACAGACTAGAAAGAAGGATTGGCCAGCCACTGAGGGGGCGGGGGGAAGGAGGGGCTTTATAAAACCCTATAAACAGAGAAATACAAGTAGTTACAGTATTAGACTTACAGCCTGGAATAGAAGTCACTCAAAATGGGGAAAAACAGCTGCAAAAAGACGAAAGGTTAGCGAAGGAGAGGATGACCACCAACGAGATTGACTCTGTGACTTCAGCAATGGGCTCTAGTGTCTCAGAGATGGTGAGGACGGCACAGGACAGGACAGGGCAGGGTGCAGGATGACTGTTCATAGGGTCGCCATGAACCATACTGAACTTGAAAGCACCTAACAGCCACAACAAACCAACAGAGCTCTCTGTGACTCCACCTATAAACCATAGATCTGAACCTTGACCTATCCTGTGTCACCTTCACTATTTCTGATGCACTCAAGCTTATTGGTAAGTCACTGTATGAATCCATTTGGTTGAAAGTCTTCTTCTCTTTCTCTTACCCTCCATCTCTCTCAGCATGATGTCTTTTTCCAAGGACTGGTCCCTTTCCCCTCCTTGTTTTATTTTATTATTTTTTGTCCCTTTCCCCTCCTTGTTTTATTTTATTATTTTTTTGTGTGTACCATCAAATCAGATTTGACTAGTACAGAAGGAGATTGCCCCTCCTCCAGCAAAGATCTGGTGGGTCCAAACATCATGCCTCAGAAATTTCAGTGCAGCTTCTTGCCACTAGGCCACCAGAGCTCCCTCACTGGTCCCTTTTGACAACATGCTCATAGTAAAAGAGGCAAACTTTCACCATCCTTTCTGGCTGTGCTTCCTTTCATGAAAAACTTGTTTGTTCTTTTGGTAGCCCCTGGGAGTTTAAGGAGCTAAAGAATAAGGATGTTAATTTTAAGGCTAAGGTGCACTGGATCCAAGTCATAGTCTTATTAATTACTTGTTGTACATCTGAAAGCTACACAGTGAACAAAGGTGACAGAGGTATAGAGAGCTTTGAGTCATATTGTTGGAGAAGGATACTGAGTATCCCATGACTGACAATAGAAAAAAAAATCTGTTTTGGAAGAGAGGTTGGAGTAGTTACTGCCTGAAGATTGTATTGTCTGAAACAGGACAACTTTAGGGGAAAGTTAGTAAGTGGCAATGACATGCTACTTTTCATTTCTGAACAAAGCTATAGTGTGTGGAGAGCGGATTAGCCACAAGTTCTATTTTTTTTCTCCTCAATTATCAGACCTCATGTAATTTTTCATTTCTGGCTTTTCTTTTTTTTTTAAATTTTATTATTTTTGTGTGCGTGTACCGTCAAATCAGATCTGACTGGTACAGGAGGAGATTGTCCCTCCTTACCCGGCAGAGCATCTGGTGGATTCGAACCGTTCGCCTCTGGGATTGTAGTTGCAGCTCCTTGCCACTAGGCCACCAGAGCTCCCTATTTCTGGCTTTTCTAATCACCGGTTGTATGCACAACTCTCCTTTCCTCAGGTAAGTACTGTTGAACAATTTTCCCATATTTCCTCAAATATTGAGAAACACCAACCAACTTTTTGTAACATTTGCTGTGTTTTAGGGTACTTAAACATTATATTACAATATGTTGACTCCAGCAACTAGAACACCCTGTTATTATAGTGATTGATCTGTTCGTGGTTTACTGAATGCATCTTTGTTGCAGGCCTTTTTGCTAATGTAATTTGTTAAAACACTCTTAGCAAAGTGCTGTTACAATGGCCATCTTCTGGGACTTGGATAAAGCCTTGTTATATAGAACTTGATGTTATACACTAATGGCATTTATTAGAATGGAATTCTATATGTATTATTACTTCCGACATTAGCCTGGCTTTTTTAGCCTTCTCACAGCATGAGACTTTGGTAATTATGCTAATGCTAGCTGATTCATAAGGACAACTTCCTAAAGTGCACTTAATTAAATTGGAGATTTTGTAAACAGCTGTACATGTAGGTTCGGCAAATTGTGGGAATATGTCAATCTGACATGTGTGCAGTCTGCATTACTAACCTCATCACTGTTTGCTAAAATTAAAACACAAATCTCAAAACGGTTATGTTTTGAAGCAAGAGCTTGAAGATTCTGAGAAATGTCACTTTTGGCCTGTATGAAGGCAGGGAAGATCTGATCCTTGTTGAATCTAGGAAAGCTAGATTGTTGCCTTTTATATGCAATGAATAATATCAATGAATGGATAATATTAAATTTTTGTTTCTTTAGAAGCAGGAATGGCATCCACTTCCTAAATAACATACCTCCAGAAACTCAATGAACTTTGATAAATGTCAATAGTTTTAGAGGGGCTTCAGATCCTTTGTTCATGGGGTCGCTATGAAACAATGCTCTACTCGAAGGCAATCAACAACAACCTTAGCAAAGGTAAAAATTTTCCAACATATTGCTGCAATGAGATTTTGCCAAAATGTCCATTCTTCTGTCCAATATTGCTCTTCATTGTCATCTTCTGGAGGTCTGATTTCCCATCTAGGGGAGCCATAATTTCTGCTTCCCTTTAGACCCAGGTGCTTAATTGATTAGATATCATAATGACTCCTTGCCTTCATTTGCATAACAATCATCTGACTTTTGGAATATTTTATTAAAATCCAAATCTTCTGAAAAAGGAAAGATAATATTCATATGCACAGACAATGCCATATAAGAATTTGCATACAAATATATTTTAAGAAAGCAAGATAATGAAGATCAAGCCAATCAAAAGAAACATTATCTGGAAAGAGCAAGAGAGGAAAGAAAAATCCAGCCCAATCCAAATAGAAGAAATAGCAATTGTACAAAGCTAATGACAGTGGAGAATAGGGATGGTTTTTAATAATCTTCTTATTATCACTGCATAAAATCACACTCTCAGATAAGTCCTACCAACTAAGCGAGGGATTTGCCGATGGTTTCTCAAGGGTACTGGCAAGGTCTTTTCCCCTCATTAATTTAAACTACAATCCTGGGTACAATCTCTTTGGGAACCAGCAAGATTACCTGTTAAAGATAACTAAACATTTATTGTTCAGCTTTTTCTTAGATTTCAATGGTCAGAGTCTCTTCTCCTTGACTTCGATGGTCAGAATCTCTTCTCCGGCCTCAGCAGAGGGAGCCATGCTGATGATGAGTGACTGACAGGTAGTCCCTCTAGGTAATGACTCCTTTTTCGGACTTGACTTGGGCACTTGCTCCTTAGGAGAAGGACTTGCTCCACAGTTGGGTTCATCCGGTGCTTTTTCTGCTTGCTCCGTTCCTTTATCTTCATGTGCTTTTCCTTTATCCTCTCCTTCTTCAGAGTCTTCACTTTTTCTCTAGAAGAAACAGTTAGAAAAACTTAATCAAAACCGAGCACTTCAGAGTCTCTTAATTAGTATACAATGACAGCATCATTGCCAAGAAAAAGACCCTCTGAATTAAGCCAACAAGGGGATTGTGAATCCCTATGCATCTGACTACCGCTGATCAAGTTTTCTGACATGCTAGAGTGTGAGGCTGAGCTGTCATTTTTAATTTTTAAAGTTGCTTTAGATTGTATTTTTGCCTTACAAAGGAATTCTCTTTCCAATTTTCCCTCATACTCTGAATTATTACTCAGTGCTAAGGAGTCTTTGTTTTTGCTCTTTAAATGTTTCTTTTTAATAAAGCCAGAATTAACAAAATACCAGGAAAAACACAATAGGAAGTATGGTATTCCTCCTGCACAAGCTCTTGGGAGAACTTCAGAAGAAACTCATATCTCTTTCCTAGAACAATCTTCTCCATTTGTCCCAAGGGCACTTGAGGTACAGGAGTTTTGGGTTTTTTTAGCTACAATTTTTTAAAATATCTATTGTGTTTTAATATCATCTATAGAAAGTTCATAGTAAAAAAATTACTATGCTTTTTACTGAAGATGTTTGGGATCCATTTGAGAGGCTTCTATGAGGTATGAATGTGCATGTGTGAAGTTCAGAGCCTATACTTTTGCTGATATATTTCTCTACTCTTATCTATTTTCTATACCAATTATTAATACTGAGTTAAGGAAGTATTTGGTTTATACTGCATCCCTAATTTTCCCCAGTGTGTGTATGAGGAGAAGAAAGAGGGAAGTTTCTGGAATGTGGCTGATTTGAGAATATTTCCTTTCCTCACTTTCCGAGAGGTCTGCATTCATCCTTTTATTACTGTTTCAGAGACAATGACTAGATTCAGAAAAGCAGAATCTCTGTTTTACAGCATTTGCTCTGATGCACTGATTTTGAGGATTAAAGAAATATTACACAAAAAGGGAAAAGAAAAACAATTCTAGTTGAGTTTCTTTACATTTCTAGATATCAGGGGACAGTCCCACTGTAGGTCTGGAAATCTGAATATCCGGATATATATTCTGCCACAAATTGTGATAATAGCCAAATTCCTTGATCTGATTCTCAGTTTCTGTGTCTATAATATGAAGGACTTAAAGGCAGTCTATAGGGTCCCTTCTGGCTTAAGAATTTATTGTGTATAATAGATTGAATTTCTGTGAAATGTTATTACCATGTTGGTAAAGTGGCTTATATAGGCATCTGTTTGTTTGTCTCTCTACTGGTGCATGTGCGCATGCTCGTGTTATCTCTCTCTCTCTCTCTCACACACACACACACACACGCACACGCACGCGTGCGCACAAACACACACACACACACACACACACACACACTGAGAGAGGAGAGAAAGCCTGTATAACAAATCCATGAGGACATGAGGATTAAATATGATGATATTTGGGGTAGTAGTTTTAAAAAATGAGAAGTGCTAAGCATAATGCAGTAATTGTTAGAAGTAAACAATTCAAGTGTTTGGAATTCAAACAAGAGGTGGGCTGGCAAAATGGGTGATCTTGGAGGACATTATGCTGAGTGAAGTATCTCAGTCACAAAAGGACAAATATTACGTGGTACCACTGTTGTAAAATAGGACTGACATCAGGGTTGGGGGGAGACTGAGAAAGATGAGTTCAATAATATATACTACATTGAAACAGATGAGGGAGAAAACTGTTTAAACGGGATATGTGGTTATGTATTTTTGTCATGACAGGAGTCCAGAGTGAAGGCTGCATAGTGGAGTGGAACTGGGGTGGGGGGGAGAGATTGTAAAACAATGAAAGAATTTTTCTTTTACTTTTCCAAGAGGGGAGTGTACTAGGGGAAGGGTTGGGAGGGGAGAAAAATAAAACAATGAATAAAAGGAAATTCAGAGTTTCTGTAAATTTTCATTGAAATTAATAAAAAAATAAAAAAAATCCCAAAACAAACAATTGAACAAAAGAGGTGGGCTGGGTAGACTTAGTCCATTGCTCTGTCCAGTACAAACATCTATTTAGTCTGTCTTATTACCTGAACTGTTTGTTCTTTCTTCAGTTTGAGTAATCTTGCAAGCCCTGCTTTTCCTTTACCTCCAAGCAGAGCTTTAAACATTTTGGGTGTCTCTTCTTTAGGTGGGAAGAGAAAGGCATACCCTTTTTTTGGAGGAGTTGCCTCTGCAGTCTTACCCTTCTGTTTTAGAATCACTCTGTAAATGGAAGAGTAAAGCTATTTTAGATAACTCTGTAAGTTCCATCAAAAGACCTCCTAGTCTGCTTTTAATGGACACCTTAAGATACAGTTTCTAAATAGATCGTATGGGGAAAGCTAAATGCTGTAGCAATAATACGGTTCTCTTTGCCTTGAATTTTATAAACTAAAGCCAGCCTATTTCTAATGGAATTTTAAAAGTTGTACCTGGCTTTCTTCATGAGGAGTTTTTCCGAATCTGGGTAATGGACTAGAATTTCTTGGAGGGTCTTTTTGTCCAGTGTCAAAAGATTGGCAAAACCATGAGCTGCCACGTTGGCTGTTCGGCGGTTTCCTCCACCTGATGCTAGAAGACTGTAAGAAAGAAAAGTGAGTCCTTGACACCAATTTCACTCTTAATCTATTATGAAAACATTGAAAGTAATCGTTTGAAAGTACATTGCTGTATTTTCAGATATTTATTCTTCTTTGAGGTGATTCCCAAAAAGGTGAGGTTTTGGTGGTTTATGTGGGTAAAGTCAAAGTATGATGGTAACAAATGCGTGGAAAGTCTTCACATTTCTCTTACACCTGCCACAAATCAAGGACTTATGGCCACCAAGTGCCTCATCAGCTCTCATTCTAGGTTCCAGACATACTAGATATATTCTACTTGCTCTTCTAGACTGCTCCATCACATTTCTCTATCCCTTTTTGATCTCTAGAAAGTCGACTCCTTTGGGCTTTCATTTGGGCTCAGCCAATGAACAAAGTCCAAAAGAAAGTGAAGAAATGCCAAAGTAAGTAAGATAAAGAGAATATCTCATAGGGAAATTTGAGAAGACAAAGCAAGGGATTATCACACAAACAACTGAAGTTAGAAAATCAAAAGGGAAGAACTTACTTGGCATTTCTCAAGATGAAAGAACTAAAAAACGAATTCAAGCCTAGAGGTTCAATACTGACATGTTCGATGGGCAAAATCTTTAATGATGTAGAAAGCATTAAAAGAAATTGGAAGCAATGCCTAGAGTCATTGGTAGACACAAAACCATTTCAGGAAGTGATACATGACCCAGAACCAACAGTACTGAAGGAAGAAATCCAAGCTGCATAATATAAGATCCCAGTAATTGGTGGAATGCCAATTGAGGTGTTTAAGGAAATAGATGCAACCTTTAATGTGTTCACTAATCTCTGCCAACAAATATGGAAGGCAGCTACTGGGCTAACTCACTGAAAGAGGTCAATATTTGTTTCCATTCCCCAAAAAAAGTAACCCGACAGATTGTAGAAATTATCAAACACTATCATTAATATGGGAGCTCTGGTGGCCTAGTGGCAAGACATTGCACTGCAGTCCTAAAGGCATGCAGTTCAAATCCACCAGCAACTCCATGGGAGAAGGATGGGCAATCTCCTCCCATGCAAGTAAATGCCTCTGAAAACCCACCAGAGGGTCAGCTATGGGTCAGTTTTGACTCAATGGTACACCACCACCACCATCATTAATATCACCCCCAAGTACAATCTTGCTGAAGAGTATTTAAAAATGAGTTGAACAGTAACCTTACAGAAATCCAAACTGCATTTAGAAGAGACAATGGAATGAGGGATATCATGTTGATGTCAGATGGATCCTTGCTGAAAATAGAGAACACCTGAAAAGGTTTACTCATATTTTATTGACCATGCAAAGGCATTTGACTGTATGGATCATAAAAATATTATGACCAACACTCAGGAGAATGGGAATTCCAGAACACTAAATTGTGCTTATGCAAAACCTCTACATAGATCAAGAAGCTATTGTCCGAACAGAGTAAGAGAACAATGCACAGTTTAAAATCATAAAAGGTATGTGTTAGAGAAATTTCCTTTTTGTATGCTGAGCAAATAATGAAAGAATCTAAACTGCACAAGGAAGAATGTGACATCAGTATGCTGATCATGAAACCTTTCTTGCTGAAAGTGAAGAGGACTAGAAACACTTTCTGCAGAAGATCAATCACTGTAGTCTTCAATATGGATTACATCTCAATATAAAAAAAAACCCCAAATCCTCAGAACTGGACTGAGAGGCAACATCATGAAATATAGAAAAGACTGATTTTGACAAGAATTTCATTTTACTTGGTCCAAAATCAATAACCATGGTTACAGCAGTCAAGAAATAAAAAGATGTGAACCAAGGAGGGGGGGAAAAAAGAGAACCCAGAAACAGACCCAACTATCTATTGTCAACTGATAATTGACAAGGAAATAAAACCTATCAGATGGGGAAATGGCAATGTTTTCAACAAATGGTGCTGGGAAAACTGGACTTCCTCTTGCAGAAAGCTGAAATGGGATCTACATCTCACACCATACACATAAATCAACTCAAACCATAAAGTTCATAAGAGACAATCTGGGATTAAGCTTAGAAGGCCTAGTCTATGGTATAAAGAGACTGACCTTCTAAAGATTAAATCCCTTTGTGCATCAAAAACTTTTTCCAAAAGGGTGAAAAGAAAACCTACCAACGGGGAACAAATACTTGGCAAAGCCATTTCAGACAAGCGTCTCACAACGAAAGTTTACAGAATACTCCTGGGCCTCCACAAGAAAAAGACTGATAACCCAATTACAAAATGGACAAAAGACATGGAAAGAATTTTCACAGAGGAAGATATTTGAAAAGCCAACAGACACATGAAGAAATGCTCCAAATCCCTGGCAATAAGAGAGATGCAAATCAAAACCACAATGAGGTAGCATCTCACTCCAGTAGCAGTGGCAAAGTTTAACAGGACAGCAAGTAATAAATGTTGGAGAGGACGTGGCAAAATGGGAACTTTTGTACATTGTTGATGGGATTGTTACAATGGTACAACAACTCTGGAAGGCAGTTTGATGCTTCCTCAAAAAGCTGAACATATGACCCAGCTATTCCACCTGTTGGAATATACTCTGAGAGAATGAGAACTGAGGAACAAACGGAGACTTATACACCAATGTTCATAATAGTGTTGTTCAAAAACATGTCCAATCCCAACTGAATAGATTGAGAAATTATGGTACATTTACATGATAGAATACTACGGAGCTTGCAGGAGCAATGCTTTTGTAAATTACTACTTAACTTGGGAGGAACTGAATAGCATTATGCTGAGTGAACTAACTCAGTCCCATCAGGAAAATACTGTATAAAACCAATATTGTAGAAAGAGTATGAGGATCCAAGGGGGAGAGGAGGCTGGAAGCAGAGGGATGAGGATGTGCGGGGGATGGGTGATTCATCATAGGGTCATACAATTTGTTGGGTGGGGGTGAGGGAAATTGGAAGGATCTGGTATGAAAAACAATGTATTAGAATTTTGCAAATAAACTAGTATAAAAAATATAAAATAGAATGTATATGAATGATTGTGTGAAACACAATGTAAACGAAAGATTGTATAAAACAATGTATATGAATGAAACATACTGTAAAGTTATTATTATATAAAAACAAGAAAAAATATGTATAAAAAAGAAATAAAAACATGTGTTGCTTTGGGAAAAATCTGCTCTCGAGGACCTCAGCAAGTGCCAAAGAGCCACAATGTGAGTTTAAAGACCAAGGTGCGCCTAATTCAAGACATGGTCTTTTCAGCTACTTCCTGTGCATCTGAAAGTTAGAGGATGACATCGGATGACAGAAGAAGCAGCAAAGACTTTCGATTGTGGTGTTGGATAAGAGTTCTGAATGAATACCTCATGGACTGCAAAAAGAACTAACAAGTCTCTTCGAGAAAGCCTAACTAGGGTGCTGCTTAAAAGCAAAGATTTATAAACTGAAGGAAGAAGTAAATGACAATGTTGACAAATTCCTGGAGGATGAGTATGAACTGGCAAAAGAGTGAGACACTCCTGAGAATTACAGTCTTAGGAAGATACATTTTTGTTGCTTTTACCTACTGGAACCTCATTGTGTTCTCACTGTGAAGAGCTAACACAAACCCTCTGGTGGATTTGTCAGGGTGAAGGGGGAAAAAAATCATATGAAATGTTCCCAAAATGTATTTGTTCTCCACAACAAAGGCCAGCTTCTAAACTTTAACGGAGTGTTATCCCACCTAAAGGAAGGGTATTATCTCACCTCAGCGCTCTCTAACCTTCTTGTTTTACCTAACGAAAATGGGAAGCTAAGTAACACTTGAGAAAGTTACACCCCAGGGACAGAGGCCAAGTAAAAGTTGGAAACTGAATCATAAGATTGTAGAATACTTTCATTTCTCCATATTTTAGTACCACACTCTTAGTTCCTCTGTCAATAGCATGGAATGTAGCTGAAACAGATCCATGCTGAAGATCTCTCTCTAACAAACCTGCTTAGGGAAGACCAAAGTCATCAAGAGAGAGGAAAACAAAGACTAGAGAGAAATTTGAGCCCTCTGCCATGTATAGTCACAGCAAACATTAAGTACAGCTTACTTCCTAGAAACATTAACGTAAATATGTCATTCTAGAGGCCCATTTCTGTCAGTTCCTGTTACTTCATGTCCAGATTTCAGAAGCAGATGTGGATTTAGGTGGAATCAATTCCTTTGTCTCATGGACCATTGTTCCATTCACCCTTCTTTCATTTGGGGACATTTAATACTAACTGAACTGTTTGTCCTCTAGCACATGATCATTTAGAAACCTCTTTGTAGGGTTGGGAATATTTTGGGACTTTCTTACAAAGCTGTTCATTGAGGGAAATTTTCTATTGGTGGGATGCTGGAGAAGCATTTTGTGGACAAGAGGGAAAATGATGCTATTTTAAACGTTGCTGAGAGTTTGGGCAAAATCCATCTGGCAGGCAAACTATTTCCTCTGTTCAAAAACTCATCAAGCACTCCAAACGTGTAACCTGTAGGCAAGTGTAATTAAAGCTTGAGAAATCTCAAAATAACCTGACATTTAAATATGTATTTCCGCTCTGCTTTCATAGTCTGACACACACACAGACACTCTTAGGCTCAAATTAAATTCCCCAGTGCCATGCAGCCCTATCTAACTACTGGATTACCATGCACCCAAGTCTACGGGAATGTGAGTGAAATAGCCACATGGAATCAAGGCCCTTCAAATAATAAAATCTATTCCATAGATAGGTCAGAAGGTAGATAGGAGGAACTTAGGTAGATGATTGAGTAAAGATAGGGTGGAGAAAGAGTGAGATAGAGACACACACACACACACACACACATAGAGTGACACACACACGGGGAGAGAGAGAGAGAGAGAGAGAGAGAGAGGACATTTTATGTTTTATCTTGAAAAAAACCCAACCCCAATCAAACCAGTGGAGGTAGAATTTGTTTGGGGAAGAACCTTATAAAAAATAAAGTAAGTGCTATTATCAT